AGAGGAATTGGTTTTAAAATAACTGGATTTGGTTTTATTGATTATTGATATTGGAATTATTGAGAATTGGTTTTAAACCATACTTTGGAATTATTGGATTATTTATTGGAAATTGGTTTTAAAGCATGTTTGCGAAAAAATTGAGTTTAATTATCTTGCACTTACCGTACTTAGCATTTTGGCTAACCCGTATTTCTTATTTGTTTTGGTTCGCCCTGTTTATAGTAATGGTAAGCAGCGTCGCTTATTTTCAGGTTGGAGTCAATAAATGATGCATTGGAGTCCTAGGATTGGTTTTCACTAAATTAGGAATTTGGTCTTGTATCTATTTGGAGTACTCATAACATTGGTTACTATTATGGTTATTGTTAATAAAGAAGAGTATTGAAGTTTCCGCTGCAAAGTATTGGTTTATTTTTAGTAAGTTTGAGTAGCCTTGCGTTTTCACGCGGCGGTAATATGCCTAAGTCTATCTCTACGGTATAATTATATGTATTATACTAGTATTTCCGTAGAGGGAGATTTGGGGGTGTTACAAAGTGGTATCAGTTTTCAAGGTCCTAAAAAGATTAAAATGGGAATAGTAATTAAAATTGTGGGTAGACTTAAGAGGGCATATAGGATAGATAGAGTTTCGCATTTGTGTGTGAGTCAAAAGCCTTATTTTTACTTAAAAAACTATTTTCTTATTTGTGGAAAGATGAAGAGAAAAGGATTCTTGAGTTCTCTACGGAGGCCTATAATGGGTACGACTCTCTGTTTAGGAAAGGCTCGCCTCAACGTCGTAGGTAACTTTCCTGGGAGATGCGGGCTCGACCGTCCTTTAATCTCGATTCAAGTACATATTTATTATTTTCGAAAATAAAAAGAATTGAAATTGTTTGAAACTTGAGTATGCGATTATGTGTGCATTAAAGTTGGTGTTAAAACACCTTAGAGTGTGGTCTAGAGGTCCGGATTTTTGAGTTATTACCCATGGTTGGGTAATCTTGAGTTATGTTTGGTTGAGTTATGAATTGCTTATTGCAAATGGATTTTGAATTGGATTATTTGTGTGATTTGACACTTAAATAATTGTTTTGCATGTATGTGTGGAACAGATGAAAATGATTGATGCAATGAGACACCAATATTTTGACATTCGTTACTTGAAAATTAGTGGAGTCACAGTTAGTGATTTCATAACTAGAATTTGTACTTTGGCCTTGACCCTTTATGAGAAGGATGGTGAGGAAGTCTTGACCCAACAACCTTGGATGGTTCTTCGAGCCTTGGCCCATTTGCCTAGAATTAAGAAATACCAACCTCTCTTTGACAAATATGGGGATGTGATTAAGAAAGACGGAATGTGGAATGAGAAGCACCATCATGAAGGGAAGTGGTTAGCAACTATGTCTAGCCTTAAGAGGGACTTGCACCATGTGGAGCGCAAGTATGAACCTAAGAGGAAAGTTGTGTAATACACCGTATTTTCATACGTATTTAATAATTAATTAATTAAGAATTATTTTATAAAAAGGGTATTTTAGTAATTTCATTATTCGGGGCCAAAATAATATTTGAATTTTAGCGCCAAATATAAGTATTTAATCATTTGAATAATTAATTATTTTCGGATTTCTAAATTAATAATATAGGTTTAATTATCTTTTTAAGGTCGGTCCATATTTTACTAACTATTTCAAGAGAAATATTTAATGTACATTATGTATTTAACTAATTTTGATATTATCTAAAATATTTATTTATTCAAATATTTTATTATTATTGATTGTTATCACTTTAGTTTATTAATTATTATATTTTAAATTATCCTCTAATTTTCTTCTTCATTATCTCATTTTGTTCCTATCTTTCTTCTCCCAACCATATGTATATCCATTTAAATTTTCTTATCTTTTAACCCAACTATTAATCTAGACTTAATTTGATTCAAGTACCTTAACAACCCCAAAAACTTATCACATTTTCTAGTAATCATATCACACCTTAAAATCTATCCTTTCTACACCCTAGCCTATAAATACCCCTTCATACCTCTCACATTCTTCACACCAATTTTCTTCTCCTCAATTTTACACAAATCATCCCGTTTATATTTGAAGCCAATTTTTGGGCACTTCTGCTCGGTTTTTGGGGTATAAACGTTTCACAAAAAGTTGTTCCTCTCGAAAATTCCTTGAGGTTAGGCTCAAGAATTACCCAATTCCGAGCTATATCAAAGGAGTTATATCCTCTGCAAGTTCTGCCTATTATTTCCTATGCAAATCCAATTCTTCTCTTTTCCTTGGTTTCTTATCTTTTCTTCTTCTCTTCTCTTATTCAATTATTATTATTTTTATTATGGGGGATTTATAAAAATTATTATGAGTAGTTTTAATTATATAAATCATATTTTTATGATGTTTATGAGAAATTAATTAAAAGGTTCATGTACATATAGTTGGGGGTTTTTAATTATTTGTTAACCTTATATTGATTAAGGTTATATTTATTTGTAGGGTGTGTTCGACCAAGATTCTTGAGGTTCTTTTGGTGTGTATAGCTAAGCAAGGATCAAGGTACGTTAGGTGGCTAGATACCTTTGAAAGTGATTGGTTTGAATAACATGTTTTATTTGATTTGATTGGTGATTGAATTAAATTGATTTGAATTATGATTTTGAAATAAATCATGTTTGGAGGTATTGATAAAAGTATTTTGGTTTTTAAATCATGTTTTAAATGGTTTGAATTACTTATCGTGTTTAAATAAATGATTTGATTTTTAAAAGGTTTGTTGAATTAAATAAAAGGTTTTTTAAGGAAGAGTTATTGATTTTGGAAAGCTATTAATATGAGATTTTATTCTCAAGTATTTATTTAAAATGTTTTGATTTTGAAAGTATGTGGACTTATCAAAAAGGAGTTTGAATTATATTGGATTTGTTGGATCTTAAAAGGATTTATTGAACCATTGAATTATTATTATTAATGCTTTATAAGCAGGTTGGTAATCCCACTATGCGGATTTGGTTTATTGATAAGGCCTTGAACTTTGTATGACCGGGTCTTTCCTCAAGAATAGCCTTGTAATATAAGGAGACTAGCTTGGGGGGTGTGCACACTTGGGTGAGAAATTGGATTTAAAGAAATTGGTTCAAAAAGGAATTGGATTTTTAAAGGAATTGGTTTATCAATTATTTTGAATGTTGAATCATTGGAATTGGTTTTGAATCATGAGTTTTGGAATTAGTGGATTATTTATTGGAATCGGTTTGAAAAGCATGTTTGCAAATAAATTGAGTTTACATTATCTTGCACTTATCGTACTTAGCATATTTTGCTAATCTGTATTTCCTATTTGTTTTGGTTCGCCCTGTTTACCGTAATGGTAAGCAGTGTTGACTATTTTCAGGTGGAGTCATGAATGAGCATATGGGAGTCCCGGGATTTGCTTCACATAGTTAGGAATGTTGGTCTTGTCTTTATTTAGAGTACTCATAACAATGTTACTATTTTCATAAGTATTAATAAAATAAAGTTGAGTTTCCGCAGCAAGTTTTTGTTATTGAGTTAAGTATTTTGAGTAGTCTTGCGTAATCACGCGGCGGTAATACGCCCAATTCTATCTCTACGGTATAATTATACGTATTATATTGGTATTTCCGTAGAGGGAGATTTGGGGGTGTTACAAGTTGTGAAAATTCCCACGATCCCAAAAGATCGAACCTTTGGACCTAATGACCAAATGTACTTCTTAAATGCCCAAGTACCTTTTTCATACCCAAAGAAGCGACATGAGTATGTGGAATCTAGTGATGAGTCCGTACCACCTCTTGGTAGGAGCAAGCATTATCGTTCTCTTAGCCAAACTCCAAGCTATGAATCTTCCAAACAACCTAGCCCAAAAGCCCATTTCCATGTTGCAAAAAGGCCCAGAATTCGTTCTCAAACTGCAAAAGAAAGAGCCCAAAACCCCAAAGCTTCTTCAAGCCACTACAACAAATCATCACTTGTGCCACGAATTATGCCACGGGAATTCCAAATTCGTGGCATAATTTTGATTAGCCACGGGAAAAAAAAATATGACACAAAACCTGAATAAGAAGAATAATTTATGTCACGGGTATTTATTTTCCCGTGGCAAATATCACACTTGTGCCACGAGTAGCGCTTTTCCCGTGACAAACTTTACATTTGTGCCACGAATGCTATCTTCCCGTGGGCAAACTTTACATTATTGCTGCGAGTTGTTTTTTTTTTCGTGGCAAATTTTACACTCGTGTTACAGGTAATAATACTTTCTTCACAAGCATACAATATTTTTTGACACAAGCATACAATATTTATGCCATGATTTTTGCTAAAAATATATATAAAAAAATTGTAACTTGATCTACTCATGACATGGAAAGGAGGAAATCATATCATATTATAACTAGTTTATATAAAACCATAATACAAATTAGAGGTCAAATATATTTATATTTCTAATACACACTTATATTTTCTTTATAAATAAGCTTGATTTATTTATTTTCGCACAATAACACAACAATTGTATATCACTAATCACTAGTAGAAATTTTTTAAAAGACTCCAAATAAAAGCACTGGTTTATAAACTTCGGTCCCTATATTTAAAATAAAAAAATATTAATTATCATGATATAAAAGGGGCAATAGTTTTTTTAAAGAATTTTGTCTTTTAACATGACCTTTTTTTTTTTTTTGAAAGATAACATGGATCTATTTCTAATACATGGTTAAATTATGTTTTCCAGCGTAATGGCAACAAGTGCATATGACTAATAGAATTTTTTTTTAAATTCACCTAAAGAATGCATTAGTTTTATAAAAACCTCAATTTCGATAATCTATATTATTAGCCATATCAGCAGTCGCGTGATAAAGTCACTATAGAAAATTATATTTATTACTGGTACCGCTTGATAAAGTCACTATAGAAAATTATATTTATTACTGGTACCAATCAAACTTAAAAAAGGGAATGGAGCTATCAATACCAATTAAATAATACATTTTCATAAAATTTCAATAGAGAAAATATGCTGTAAGAAATTTTAATATTGTTTTCGATTTTTAATTTATTCGTTTGCATTCACAAATGAATTCCCTTATTTCTATTTTTTTATTTTTTTAATATGAAACCAAATGACTTCCCTTCTTTCTGTAAAAGTTTTATTAACAGTCAACTTGAGTAAATAAAAAACTACCCCAGTTTAACGACCCCCCAAATGATCCGTGCTCTTGCTGTATTTTCCCCTTCTTTCTCTCTCATTTTCCATTGAAGCGCACCTATCGTTCTCCATTGAAGCAGTTTCTAAGGTAAAATTTTAATTTCTCTTTTTCATTATCCAGTTTCAATTTCTCTAGGCTTTTATATATCCTAAATTTAATTCACATTACACACAAATTGAGGGTTCTCCTAAGCTCCACGACATCCTCCATTTCTCGGCTTTCGATTCATCATCCTCCATCGTCGTCTACAAGTCCTGGATTCAATTTGTGCGATTTATAAGGTAGAATTCGTTGAACTTTCCTCAAGAACGAAAATATTCAGCCTTAATTCGAGAAAATTCGAAAAATTCTAGACTAAATTTTGAGCCAATTTAAACGGTTTTTCATGCAATAATTCAACCTACAGCAAATTCGAATCAATTTTCGAATCAAAAATCGGAAATTTGAGGTTAGGGTTTATAGGTTATTTAGCTTTGCATTATTTTTTGCCTTTTTGGTCCAATTATTCCTGTTTAATGCTTTGATTTCTTGGGTTTAATTTGATTTGATTTCACTGTAATGCTTATTTGATATCAAATTAGTTCCACTATTTGCAATTAAACTTACAATTCTTTTTTAAGGGCAAAATTCCCTGTTTTTTCTTCTTAAATTGGGTTATTTTATTAGGTACTTGCTCAATTCGTATCTACTGGATTAATGTATACAATTCTAAGCATTTTTGTCTCTCTCTCTCTTTTTTTTTTTTTTCTTTTTTACTTTTTTATCTCTGTGATTTTTTTTTTATTCAAATTATCTAAGTTTTCTGAATGTGATTGATGGATGTTTGTTATGTATACCTGCATATTGAATATAAATTATGGTCATTTGTGATATAAGTGGTTGTTGATGAGCAATTATTGTTGAAAACTAGAAATCATGCCTTCACATTGTACACTTTATGAGTTTGTGACATTAGTTTGATTGTAATGTATTTTGAAACAATATGTAAATTGTTAGTTTGATACCTTAGTTTGATTATTATTATGTATTTGAAACCAAAATAAATTGTGGGTGAAGGGTGAATATTGAGAGTCACCGTGATCCTTGCCAATGCAAGATAAGCTAAGTCACTAGATTGATGATTCGAGCTTTTAGTAAAACCAACTCCTTTTAATGAAATTGTTTGGTGAGGAACATGTTAATTGAAAGGGGATGTGATCTTATGAGTACTAATAAGATAAGGAACTCAATTTTGTTGCTATAAAATTATGAGCTTAATTTGATGTTTGAATAAATTTAGTGGATGCAACTATGTAATTGGGGCTTTTGTTCTCAAAAATTATGAGCCTAGTTTGATAATTATATCAAATTTTATTGCTAATATGTTTCAGAACCCTTTAAAGTTTAGATCTGGGTACAGGGTGAGTAATGCCCCTTCTGCCCTTTTGAAAAGCTGTTTAACTTGCATTAACTGGGGTATTGTTTGTGTTGTTCGTATATTAGCCATCTTAAAGTTGCAGTTGGGTAATGATGTGTCTAATTGTCAAATCTGAATCATGGTTTGTTGATGTGGATGTCCTATGGGTGTATTTCTGGCAATATGACTGATTAATATGTACAATATTTCAATAGTTGTAAGCATATGTTAGTCAAGAACTCTTAGTACCTCAGTCCAATATTTATGTGATGGTTATGTGCATATTGCTTCTGGTGTTAAGTTTTCATACCGTAATAGTACCAAGTATCTGACGACAACTATTGTAAACAAGTTTATGGCCACTTAGGCCTCTAATATATTTCATCGTAGTGTGTTAAATATAAAAGGGATTGTAATAGCCACTGTGACTCCACAACACCTTGTTCTGAATAGGAACTCTCTCTTCTAATGAGCCACATAACTACTATGTGCTTTCAAATCAGTATTGAATCAAAATATTAAAAAAAAACTTCTTTTTTTTGGGGTGAGATTTTAGATAGGGTGTGTATTTTCTAAGACTAATAAGGTGAAGAAAATCCATGACGTTTGCTCTGATGTGCCTTTAACATGAATTCATGTCTTTTTCTCTATCTCTGCGTGGTCTGATTATACCTTTTGGTTGTACATGCTGGACAGACACTTGTTTCAGTTGTAAGTAGTGCGAGTAAAAAGTATTTTCTTGGGACTCGCAGTGCTCCTCATGAGAGGTGGAAGAAAGAATGTTGTGGATATGCTAGAATCGTTGCTAAAATTGCTAGAATCGTTGCTAAAATTGGGTGTTGCTGCTCTCTGTTGAACACACTGCTACTGATTCTGCTTTGCTGATTGTTGCTGCTCCAATTTAGTGTACTCTAATTAATTAATTAATTAATTAATTAATTATTCTTTTTCAGTTTTTGTTTGGATGAACATTGTAAATTTACAAGTTATTAATGAAAATATCTAAGTTTAATGTGTATATATGCACTATGTTTGTTGATCAATTTGGGTGAAAAAAAAATGCAAATTCGTTGCCTTTAAACCATTTAGGCACGATAATATTAATAGCAACTGATTTTATTAGCCAAGGTAGTATTTGGGTAAACAAGTAAATTAGCCACGGTAATATTTGTGGCAACAACGTTTATTAGCCACGGTAAAATTTGTGGCAAATAATTTGTTAGCCACGTTAATATTTGTGGAAAGTGAATTTGTTTGCCATGTGAATACCCGTGGCATAAAAATTAGAATTTGCCACGACATTCATATTCCCATGGCAAATTCCTAGCCACAGCCTCTTGTGCCACGGGAGTAAAATTCAAAATTTCCTTGGCTAATTTTCATAGCCACGGGAATTTTAAACTTGTGCCACGATTTTACTCGTGGCACAAAGGTCAATTTGTTGTAGTGAGCCAACCTTGTGGGGATGTAAGTCCAACAAAAAGACCACATTACATTCCTGCCCCAAACAGAAATATAAGTAAATCTGGGTCAAACTCATCAGGTCTTATTCCAAGCTATAGTGGTTATAACCCAACTCTCATGGCCGAACCAAGCAATAGAAGTGATGATCCGGATTATGATCCTATTGAAGATGGTTATGCCCATAGTGTTATTTGATTGTTTTTAACTATGTTTTTGTTTCATGTTTCAATAATTGTCCTAAGTGACAAGGTTGTATTTTCAGTAATTATTAATGAAATAAAATGAATTATTTGAAATTTCTCTGTGTTATTAAGTGAATTAAATGCTTGTATGAGTAGAACTTGTTTTGATTTCCAAGTGTAATAATCATACCCAGGAATTATGTCGCCAAGAATGAGGGAACATTTAAGGAGTAAGCGCACTGGTTCCAAAGTTGGAAAGGTCCTTAAGCAGATGACCCAAATTACTGAGAACAACACGAAGGTGGTGAACAGGGAACACCGAAATCCTAAGCTTGATGCCTATAGTGAAGTCTTTAAGAGGGTAGCTGCAGCTAAACCACCTATTTACTTGGGAAAAGAGGACCCAGCCAGCCTTGAAAACTGGATTAGGGAGTTTGACAAGCTATTTGATGCTATCAATTGCCCAAGCGAGCTGAGGGTGAACAATGTAGTTTAATACTTGAGGGAGGAAGCTGACTTATGGTGGGCCCAAAGAAAGGATGAGTTGCTGAAAAGACCAAACTTTGGGTGGAATGAGTTCAAGAAAGCCTTGAGAGAGAAGTTTTACCCTTCCTACCTTAGAAAGCAGAAGTGTATGGAGTTTACCAACCTAAGAATGGGAAACATGTCAATCAGTGAATACTACAACAAGTTCATTGAGTTGATGAGGTTTGCCCCGGAAGTAGTCCCTGCTGAAACCATTAAGGCTCAAAGATTTGAGCAAGGCCTAACCTTGACCCTCCAAGGGAAGCTAGGGGGAGTGACTTTTGAGACCCTAGATGAAGTCTATGGCCGTGCAGCCCATCTGTACGGAATTAAGGGGAGGGAGATGGAGCAGGTGGGAGAGAAAAAGAAGAACCCAGACTCTTTTCACGGGGGTGAAAAGAGGCACAAGCCTAATGGAAATTACCAAGGGAATTCTGGAGATAGGAAGGACAACAAGGGGAACTTTGGGAAGGGGAATGGGGGACAGTCATCCAACCATAAAGGGAATGAGAACCAAAGGGGTGAGAAACCCAAGAGGAAGTATTTCTGCAAGAGGTGTGAGAAAGACCACCCAGGGAAAGACTGTGAGGGAAACCCGGTAACTTGTCGTTACTGTCAGAAGTTGGGACACCGTGAGTATGAGTGTTTCAAGAAGGAATCTAATGTTAAGTCTGGGAAGGTGAAAGAGTCTAATGCACCTAGTAAACCACCTCAGTCTAGTGGACCTACAACCAAGGCTGGAACCAGTAACAGTGCGGGAGGTGCCCCAAAGGGTCGTGTGTTCGTGATGAATAGTCGGCAGGCTGAGTCTGCTAATGATGTGGTAATTGGTGTTTTCTTTATAAGTTCTTCTCCTGTGAAGGTCTTGTTTGATTCAGGGGCGTCGCATTCTTTTATTTCTAAGGAAGTAGTTGGGAGTCTCGGGTTAGAGAGTCCGGAGTCTGTTTCTCTAGATGTGTCTATTCCGTCTGGGGAAGTGAGGAGTTGTTCAAGATTGTTTTTTAGTGTGCCTATTTCCATCTCTAGGGTAGAGTTTCTGGCTGATTTGATCGAGTTTGACTTGAATGACTTTGATGTGATTCTGGGTATGGGTTGGTTGGGAAAGTATGAAGCAAAAATTGATTGTGCGGCTGAAAAGGTCACCTTGGCTAGCCTAAGTAAGACCAAAGTGGTGTATAAAAAGGAAGGAAAAAGTTCAGGGTTGAGAATTGTGTCTGCAATGCAACTACAGAAGCTGGTTAAGAAGGGTTGTCCTTTGTTTTTGTGTAGTGTTCAAGAGTTTGAAAGTGAGGAAAAGAAAGGTGAAGAGGGTATTCCTGTTGTAGAAGAGTTTCTAGATGTGTTTCCGGATGAGATTCCTGGTATGCCACCAGTGAGGGATGTTGAGTTCACTATCGATCTAGTGCCTGGAACTAGACCTATTTCTAAGGCTCCATATAGGATGGCTTCAGCTGAATTGAGGGAGTTGAAGACCCAGTTGGATGATTTGTTGGAGAAAGGTTATATTAGGCCTAGTTCATCACCCTGGGGAGCCCCAGTATTGTTTGTAAAGAAGAAGGATGGGAGTATGAGGTTGTGTATTGATTACCGAGAGTTGAACAAGGTGACAGTGAAGAATAAGTATCCATTACCAAGGATCGATGATTTGTTTGACCAGTTGAAAGGAGCAGGGGCATTTTCAAAGATAGATTTGAGATCGGGTTATCACCAGTTGAGAATTGCGGAGCAAGATATTGCAAAGAGTGCTTTTAGGACCCGTTATGGTCATTATGAGTTCACAGTTATGCCATTTGGTTTGACCAATGCACCTGCAGTGTTCATGGACTTGATGCATAGGATTTTCAGGCCATACTTGGATAAGTCTGTAGTGGTGTTTATTGATGATATTTTGATATATTCAAAGAATGAAGAAGAGCATAAGGAGCATTTGAGACAAGTGTTGTCATGTTTAAGATATCATCAGTTTTATGCCAAGTTGTCTAAGTGTGAGTTTTGGTTGGAGAAAGTAGCATTTTTGGGCCATGAGATTTCCAAGGACGGAGTTTCGGTGGACCCAAGCAAGATTCGAGCTGTGAGTGATTGGCCAACCCCAAAGAATGTCACTACAAGAAATAGGCCGATTTCCGACGGAATTTCTCCGACGAGCCCGAAAATCCGTCGCAAACTGGGAAATTTCCGACGGAATTTTGTTCCGTCGAAAATTTATGACGGATTTCAAACAGTTCCGACGTAATTTTCGTAGGAAAGTATATTCCAACGGAAAAATCCATCGGAAACAAAATAATTTTCGACGGATTTAAATCCGTCGGAAATTTCCGACGGAATTTTTCGTCGCAAAAATCATCTAACTAAATTTATTTTAAGAAAAGAAAACTTTGTATAAATAGCTAACCCTAACCCATTACCCTTCATTTCAGCTCCCATTTCTCTCTCTTCTCTCGCCGCACCCTACTCCCCTTCTCTCTTCATTCTCCCTCTTCTCTTTATCTCTCCTCTCTCTCTCCTCAACGCTTCTCCCTCTCTTCTCTTTAGTCTCCCTCTCTTCTCTTTATCTCTCCTCTCCTTCGCTACTCCCTCTCCTCTCCTTCGCTACTCCTTTCTATTTTCTCTTTGCTGTTAAATTCCGGCAAAGGTGGCCTTCAAATGCTCCAGCGTGTTTTTTTTAATTCGAATTTATGGTATTAAGGTCAAGTTCGACCATGGAAAGGCTAGATCTAGTGTTTCCATGGTCGAATTTGGCCTTATATAACCAATTTCAAGACAAATTTCGGTTGTTGTGGTTGAATCGTTATGGTAAGTGTAGTAGATCTACTGTTTTTTTTAATCTTTTGTTTTTAATTTTTTTGTTCTGAATTTTTATCTTTTTTTTTTGTCTTGTTTTCATTTTTTTCGGGTTATTGGTTGTTGGGTTGGGATTTAAATTTTTTGGGTGTTGAGTGTTGGGTTGGGATTTTATTATAATTTTTTTTTTGTCTTGTTTTCAATTTTTATTCGGGTTTCTGGGTGTTGGGTTGGGATTTATTATTTTTTTTCTTTTTTTTGTTTAATTTTTGGGTTGTGATGGTTTGTTTTGGTGGTGGCGGTGGTGGTTTTTGGTGGGTGGTGGGGTGGTAGATCTGGGCTCGTTTGTGTGGGTTAGGGTTAGGTTGGTAGGGGTTTTGGTGGTTGTGGGTAGTGGAACGGCCGAATGTGTTAGGGGGCTGGTGGTTAGAGGTGGGTGATACGCCGTGCCAGTGGTGGCACGGCGTATTTTTTTTTTAATTTCGCAAAAACAGTTTCCGACGGAATTTTCGTCGGAAATTTCCGACGGAATTTCATTTCGTCGGAAATTTTCGTCGGAAATTTCCGACGGATTTTTATGACGCTGAAAAACCTCTTTCGAGGGAAAATTCCGTCGGAAATTTCGTTGGAAAAGTGTTTCCGACGGAAATTCCGTCGGAAGAAGACAATTTTCCTACAAAGGGTTTTTCGACAAACGGTTGCGACGGAATTCCGTCGGAAACGGGTTTTCCGACGGATTTTGGGGTGGTTACGACGGAATTTTTCCGTCGGAAATGAGCCTTTTTCTAGTAGTGTGTGTCGGATTTAAGGAGTTTCTTGGGTTTAGCAGGCTATTATAGAAGGTTTGTGAAGGATTTTTCAAGGATCGCGAAGCCCATGACAAGTTTGATGAAAAAGGATCATAAGTTCTCATGGACCCAAGAGTGTGAGGAGGCATTTAAGATCTTGAAAGAAAGGTTAACTACAGCACCTGTGCTGGCTTTGCCGGATGAGAGTGATCTATATGACGTGTATAGTGATGCATCGAGGTTGGGATTGGGATGTGTGTTGATGCAGAATCGAAGGG